ACACACACACACACACACACACACACACACACACACACACACACACAATATTTTTCACACTTCCTCTCTTCTCATGGTGGAAACAGACTGTTAGAACTCGTCTCCGTAACCAATAATAATGACATAATATCACAAAACACAAGGTCGGTGGCAACATAAAGAATATCTGTTTGAGCATCACAGCAGCCGGGCGGAAAAAGAAAAAGAAACAAAAAAAGGGAAAGTGGCGTCAACTCACCCGAGTGTGGTCATGGTGACGATGGTGTACCAGAAGGAGGCCGGGATGGAGGTGAAGGTGGAGCCCGCGGTGCCCTTCTCGGCGTAGAACATGACGGTGGCGAAGATGATGATGGCCATGGTGAGGGAGAAGAGCAGGAAGCCCAGCTCGGAGGCGCAGCTCTTCAGCGTGTAGCCCAAAATCCTCAGACCCGCAGAGTGACGCGAGAACTTGAAGATGCGGAAGACGCGGAAAACGCGCAGCGTGACGAAGGCGCCACTCACGTCCTCGTTCTCGGGCATCACCAGGCCGATGTAGTACGGCATGATGGCCACCACGTCGATCACCGACATCACCGAGCGCATGAACTTGCAGCGGCTCGGCGCGGCGAAGAGGCGCATCAGGTACTCGAAGGTGAAGATGAGCACGCAGGCCGTGTCCATGCAGAAGAAGGCCAGATGGTATTTCTCCCCGCAGGGGAGGTCCCTGACGCTGCCCTTGGGGGGCCGGCAGGGCACCGTCTCCACCACGTTGGCGATGACAGAGACGGCGATGAAGAAGCCGGTGACGTAGTAGAAGACCAGCGCCATGGTGGAGGTGTGGGGGTTCTCGAAGGCCCGCCAGAGGCGCTCCCTGGAGGTGCTGTTAGGGGGGAGGGGGGCGTCCATCCCCTCGTTGGCCTCCGTGTCCTCCGCTAGACGCTCCTGGTTCTCCTTTTTCCTGTCTCGGTATTCCTTCACACAAAAATAGGAAGAGGAAGTGGAAGATGAAGATGACACGATTTATCTGTAATGATTCAAGACTTAGTTTGGCCAACGTGAGCGAGTCAACATTAAATCAAGTCAGAGACCAAAGTCCTGCTACAAAAGCAGGGATTTCATTTCGAGAGGATTCTCTACCTACCAAGTTAACAAAGGAGACGTCATTTATGTCTCAAAGTGAATCCACATTATCTAGTCGTTTACAATCAACTAACGCCACGTTTAAATGCTATTATTCAGAATGTACCGGGCTAAGACAAAACGTGGACTCTGGAGTATAGTATAGCATGTCTAAAAAAGGTCAAAGAAAGTTATAAAAAGTCATAAAATAGTGTGTGCAAAAAGGTTATGAAAAAGTCACTGTATAGTATGTCTTCTTAGTGCATATGGTATTAGTAGGCAGTAGGGTTAGGTAATAGACCAGCAGACCGTCCCATGAACTGTCCCCGTGAAATATTCTCTGAACTAGAATGTGTACTTTATAGATCCAACAGGAAACAATACACATACGTCGGCTGCTTCAGCACCAGGGACAGCTCCACGGATTTATCAACGCAGCACAGTTTATAGATTCTGATGCCAACGAGCAAACAATGACCTATCAGAGCTGTCAAAACGCCAAAAGTTTAGACACTGTAACGTTGATATTCAAGTAGAAATATTGACATGAACCATATACTTTTTTTTTTTTGAAGAAACATGCAATACTAACATTATATTATGGCGACTGAGTTTCTTAAGTAAGGTTAACTGTTTCTTTTCTTCCCTTTTGGCTCTAAACATAGTGAGCTAATGCTGTAAAAACATCACACTTTGACCCACAGCCAGCAGCCAACACACAGGTACTAATAAACTAACAAGTTACTGCCTGAACAAAACAAGCCAGATAACTATAGCGATACATAAATGAAAGTCCTACAGCAGCCAGCGACTTTCACAGCGACTAAGAAACTGATCTGCAGGAAGTTAAATTTCTTTCCCAAACTTTTTTGCCCCAAAAACCCAGATGTTGAGCCAAATGCTGTAATTTAAGAGCAGAGAGAAGCATCAGAAAAACAGCAGAATCTGTGAAATTTACCAGAAGATTAAAAATAAAAAGCATGTGGACTGTTTCTACAGAGAAACTGTGGGCGAAGAGTTGAGCGAGTGAAATGAGAATTAAATTTGTTAACAGAATGAAGGAATGTGAGGAAACACTGAACCATGAGACGGGTCAGCTTTAAAGACAAAGACTTAAAGACATAAGAGCCTCTAAAGACGATATGCTGAGCTGACAAACATGAAGAGCTCTGGAGGCTCGATAAAGAAATCACTTACAGAAAGAAAGCTGGAGTATGAAGCTGAAACCTGACTTACAATGGAGTCTGGTTAGTTGTTTTTACACAGCAGTCATTGAGCTGACAAAGCTCTTCTCCAAGAGACATTAGGAAGACATGAAACGTCAAAGGTCACAGTATCCACTGAAGTACACTAGGAAAGAGGCGGGTGTTATAAAACCTAACTGTTGGTGTTGTTGTCGAAACCTAACTGTTGGTGTTGTTGTCGAAACCTAACTGTTGGTGTTGTTGTCTAAACCTAACTGTTGGTGTTGTTGTCGAAACCTAACTGTTGGTGTTGTTGTCGAAACCTAACTGTTGGTGGTTTTGTTGACTGAACCTAACTGTTGGTGGTTTTGTTGACTAAAGCTAACTGTTGGTGGTTTTGTTGACTAAAGCTAACTGTTGGTGGTTTTGATGACTAAACCTAACTGTTGGTGGTTTTGTTGACTAAACCTAACTGTTGGTGGTTTTGTTGACTGAACCTAACTGTTGGTGGTTTTGATGACTAAAGCTAACTGTTGGTGGTTTTGTTGACTAAAGCTAACTGTTGGTGGTTTTGATGACGAAACCTAACTGTTGGTGTTGTTGACGAAACCTAACTGTTGGTGTTGTTGACTAAAGATAACTGTTGGTGTTGTTGACTAAACCTAACTGTTGGTGTTGTTGACTAAACCTAACGGTTGGTGTTGTTGACTAAACC